TCAAGCCGCGGCTCGGCTCCCTTCCTGCCCCGGCGGTTGGGCGGCGGCCGGGCTGGCTCGGAGGCCGTTGCGGATCCAAGGGCCGGCGGCTGGAGCTCCGGCGGCGCTGGCTGCCACTTGGCATTATCTTTGTTTCTCTTTACAGAATCTATCTTTTTAGCTTTTGCTACTTGAGGATTTTCTCGTTGCCACTTCCTGGCATAGCAGAAAATAAAGCAGGTGGTACCTACCAGAGAACAGAAAGACTAGGCGAGGCCTGGGGAAGAACGCTCCTCACAACCACAGGGGGAAGCAGCATTTGAAAGAGACCACCTGGTTCCAGAGCACAGGTAAATAAGCTGTAAACCAGTGACTTTTAATACAAAATCCACCACATCTGCACCTTCCCCCCCTCCCCCCCATTGATCTCTCTGCCTTTGCTTTGACTATAATGTGGAATAGGCTCTTGGCATCGTTCAAAAAAAATCAGGTTCTTCCTTGATGCTGGACCTCGTGTTTTCCAATCCATCCCAGACCCAGGATCCTTTGAGTATACATTTCAACTTCTGCATCCTGATTTCCTTCTTAACTCTTGAGTCTTTCTTATCTACCTGCAATCACACCTTTCCTTTGAGAGTACACGTTTACTGCTGGTGACACTTGACATAGTAGGTAAATCATGAACCTAGATTTAAATTTCTGGCAGTTTACTGTCTTCATTATTGGAGCTATTACAGAAGTGAGTCATCTCAGAACTGTGCTCCTCTGCAATCCTCAGTCTCTGGTCTTGACTGTCTCTGATGGCTCCATACTGTGTCCCAGTTTGATTCACCATGAGTGTCACTCACATGTGTGCGCACATGCGCAACAGATTCCTGGGGAATCTAGGTTAGCGTAAAGAAATGATTCCTTCTGTCATAGATGATGTGTCTGTAGAGTTATAGAAGTAACTAACAGATTTTCACCTCTCCTCATAGAAGAGAACTAACAAAATCATGACTGCTGGATAATACTAGGAGTTTTAATCCCCAAGGAGATTGCTATGTAGTTCATAGAACTACAAGATATGGGTTATGTTGAGTTCTCAATTAAATGTATGGATCTCACAAAATGGGGCAAATATGTAATTAGCTCTGGCACTAATAAACTAACTCATGAATATATTACTCCCTATAAGTATTTTTCTTAATGTCTTCTTGAAGTATCTCTCAGCATCTCCTCATATTCTTGCCCTTCTACTCCTAGAAGCAGTGATCTGCTTTCTCTGATGAAGATTAATTTGTATCTTCCAGGAATTTATTTAACCCAGTACAATTTTTTTTGATATTCAACCCACATTATATATGTGAACAACTCATTTCTTTTTATTGATGAGTAAAATAATAGTTCATTGCTAGTGCATTATAGAATCCCAGCTCCTACAAATATATTCCCTGCAAGTATTTACCAAAACACCTTTCACACATCCCCAAAAGCATCCTATTTACTAAGACACCTTTCACACCTCCCCCAAAATATCTTATTTACTAAATCTAAGGCCAAACCGCCTTCTGGTTTCCAGGCTTTTCCACATTCCAGTCACCTGATGTTTAACTTGTTTATTGTTTCCTTCTTGGGGTCTGGAATTTCCCTTTAATCCCTATCTTTAATAATTAATCATTTTGTTCTGTTTCTGATTTCACATTTTACAGCATGGCTATATTACAACTTGTTTATCCCTTTTCCTTTTGATTAAAATTGTATTGTTTGCAGATTTGGGCCATCATAAGTAAAGTCCTTATGAACAGATTTTTATAGAGACATATGCTTTTAGCTCTAATAGATACATATTTAGGAGTAGAATATATGGATCATGTAATAAATACATGTTTAGCTTTTTAGTAAAATGGCAAACTATTTTCAAAGAAGTTGTATCATTGTACATTTTCACCAGCAATGCAAAAGACTTCTTTTGTAAGGTGAATTATCCCAGAAGCCACATTTTCGAAGATGGAATTTTGAAGTCTTTATTACAACACTAGCAGTCTGTAGGCTACCCATTGTTACAAAGACCTGCAGCCCCCAAATACACATAACACAGCTAGGAAACAGGCCAGAGAAGGAAGAAAGAACAAAAACAATACCAACAACCAATTCAGCTCTGAGGGAGAGCTGAATTGGGATGCCATGATGACTAGAGACGAGCCAGGAGACAGGATACAGGACAAGATCAAAAGGAAACACACCTAGCAAGGCATAATTGATAGGGTAAAGTAGACTTTGCCAGAGAACCACGCAGACATCTAGGTACAGAGAACAAAGAAAGGTTTATTGCTGGGAAAGGGACCAGCAAGACCCCTTCTCACAAGGGAAAAGTGAAAAGAAGCACCGGCTATTGTCGGAGGTGACCTATATAACCTAGGAGGTCTAGGAGGGGCTAGAAGGGGTTAGGAGGTGGAGACCCTGGAGTGGACGTGAAGGCCAGGGGCTTCATCATGGCGGACTAGGATTTATGGCTCTTGCCCAAATAGTAGATAAGGGGCAACTGCCCAGACCTGAAGGTCACCCTGAGGGGCTCTTGTTGCCTTATATGGTGGTAGCTGCCCCAGAGAAGTGCCATCCTGAGGCAAAGGGGGGTTGGAGGCTGATTATTTACCGCCTTTACTAAATGGGCCTGGTGTTGCCTAGGAAGGGAAATAAACTGTGGAAAGGGGAAGAAGTGGAGTGTGCTAAGCTATGAGAAGCTAACAATAATGGCACCTGTGCTAGTCTGGGCCTAAAGAGGGTTGGAGCAGGGGGAAGATCCACAGGAAATTCCCAGTCCTAGGCACGAACTGACAAATTCAGTAACCTATCAGCCAAGTGCCTGTCCCTGCTTCCAGGGTTCTGAGCATGCCCATCATCTGGGAGGCAGGGGCTTTTCCTTCCTCCAGTATGAAGACAAGATGCCAGATGCTACCATCCACCATCTAGCCAATTTGGCGCTGGCCAGACCTGACCCCCTTACTTCACTTCTAGATCCTCTACATACTAAGTTGGTTTGGTCAGCCTTTTAAGTTTTGGAGATTCTAAGGAATAGGTAGGGTTACTTACTTGTGGTTTAATTACACTGCTCTAATGAAGTTAACATTATTTCATGGACTATCAATATATCTTTTTTAGTAGAATATTTCTTTAAATCTTGACCTTGAACATGCTAATTCTATGGCCTGGCTAAATCATTTTTTAAGGTAAGCCTTGTGATTCTAGTGAAATTGTTCTGATTCTACCAAGACTAGGAAATATTTCACCCAAAGATTTGCAAACTAGAGGTGGTTCAAACCTGATTTGTCTTGTGCACCCCGGTCCCAGTGAACATGAAGAACTTCTCTTCCTTCAAGGAATAATTAGTCTTTCTCCAATGTTCCTGTATGAGTTTGGCTATGAGACTTTAGTATCTCTATAGCATTCTGCTTGGACTAAAACATTCTAAATGTCAGTTTTCTATCCTCTAGCCACTCCAAAATTATTCCTGGGTAAGTGACAGGATTATGATTTCTTCACAGAACATCAGCCTCTGTGTTTTTATTTTCAGTTCTATGTTGGAAAGATTGGATCGTTAATTCTTGGCCAAGAAGAAGTGTTAATGACATTGGAAGAAGATACTATAATTTGGATGCATGACTGCTAAACTGATCATCATTAATGAGAAGTATCAAAGTAAGGCTAAAAGAAAAGGGCTTTATCCAAGTGACCTTTGAGGAAATTCAAATGCTGCCTTTGGATGGAGAAATCCTTATTATTTCTGCAGTTTCTGCTTTTTCTGCTGCAGAGAGCTTCTCAGACTCTCTCTTGGGTGCCTCCTCTGAACTCTACAGATGTTCCCTGGTTCAGACATCTGCATGTTGCTGGGTTGCTTTGCTTTGTGGCATCTCTAATGTCTGTTTTGAAAAGGTTGAAAAGGAGAAGAATCACAAACACCCTACAAGTTGAAAATATCATCTGTTTTCTAAACTGTATATAGCTGAGCTTTTCCTGACCTCTAGGTGAAGCAATGTCTCCGACTTTTGTAGTTGGTGATTTCCAGCTTTCTGAATACACTGGACTGGTGTGTAACCCAGACTCCTTTCCCTGTGTGAGCATTGGGATCAGTCTCTAGCTGTGAAAAGTTGAATCTGGTTCAGTATTTCTGTGAGCTCTTGTGATTTTATAGCTTCTACTCATGGTTGCCCTTTAAATCCTCTCTTAGTTTATAGCCCTGACATCTCCCTTCTATTCTTTGACTATAGCTATTTAAATTGTATTGTGAGAGAATAAATCATCTCCCAGCTAGCTGAGGCCTGGTAGCCTGATAGGGCTTGTCATTGATATCAGTGATTTAGAAAGAGGAGTCCCAAGAATTTGAATTTGGTGGGACATTTATTACATATCATCCACATACTTCTTTCAATTAAGTTTTATTGCCTTTTCTATAAGAGAGAAAATGTGCTAGGCAATCATTGGTGGCTCATACTTATAATCCTAACTACTCAGGAAACTGAGATCTGAGGACTGTGATTCAAAAACAGGCAGTCAAAGAAAATTTCAAGAGACTCTTACCTCCAATTAGCCAGCCAAAAACAAAACAAAACAAAAAACAGAATTAGGAATATGGCTCAAGTAGTAAAGCTCCAGCCTTGAGTAAAAAAGCCAAATGATACTATCTATATGAAGTAGAAGCTCTTGTACCACAACAAAGGAAGGAGGGAGGAAGAAAGGGGGAGAGGGGCGAGAGACAGAGAGACAGAGAGACAGAGAGACAGAGAAATCAAACCTCTTTTATCTCACTTTTTGGAATTTAAGTATGGAAAATCTAAGTCCATTACAGAGGAGATCTTCTTTTCTTGTAAATTTTTCCCTAAGTCATTTTTAAGGACTCTGGACCCTGGGTTAATTAATCAATAACTTTTTAGAATTTTGATATTTCGAGCTCTGACTTAGCCAAGTAAGATTACATAACATAGCTTTAAAATTTAATTTTTAATGTAATTTTTAAATGCTCAGGAATTTAGGGCCTACATTCTACATGGTGAGTCACAGTAGAGAAATAGAGCCAACGTAGATTCATGTAGAAAAAAAAAATCCTGCTCTTTTTCATCTCAATCATTAGGCTTCTTTCCTTTTTTTTTTTCTTTGATTCTTTTTAATTTGCTTTTTTGTGCAGGGTCTCACCCAGGCTGGCCTGAAATTGTCCTATAGCTCAGATAGTCCTCAAACTTGGGATCTTCCTGCCTTCGTCTCCCAAATGCTGAGTATATATTGGACCATTTCCTTGACTTAGATTTCTTTTTGGATCAGAGTGATCTTTTACATGCTTTACTTCAGTTTGAGAGTCTTCAGAGAGGATAGAATGCCCACTTATACGTTTGATTTAACAGATATGCTAACAATGGTCTTCATCAAATTGTGAATAGTTGCATTACTAATAAGCCACTTGACAGTTCAGCGGGATACTGGATCTGATTTGGAAAAAACATTTCAGGAGACTCTAGTACAGGATCCTACTGTGATCATAAGAAGCCTATTCTGCATAGTCTAAAGGGCCAGGACAGGCCCTGGAGGAGGATATACCTCTCATGTGAACGTCACAAAGTCCAGCAGGGATCAGGTGACTCTGGGGCAGCTGTTAAGCAATCACATTGAATAATCTAAATCTTGAGACATAAGACCCTTGATTAAATGGCAGGGACTTGTCAAAAGATAATTAAAGATATTAAAATTAGAATGTAAAATACAGGTAAATTAAAAAGTTGGAGGCAGCCAACTCTTTCAAGGCTTGAAGAATAAATAACAATTTTTCCCTTTTTTTTCTTTCTTATTTTATGTTTTTTAAGACAAGATTTCACTATGTAGCCCAAGTTGGCCTGGAAATTATGATCCTTCTGTTTTTATCTCTCAAGCTCTAGGATTACAGGCATGTGCTACCATGCCCAGCTACTATGTATATTTCAATAAAATGGAAAGAGGAGTATAACCTGAAAACTGGGAGTAGGAAAAAGATGCATTTAATAAAAATGATCTCTAAAACCTGGAACAAACATTCCACTCAAGAAACTTTCCTATTAGCATCAAATATGTAAGAGAAGTGCTTGCTATATATATTCACCATTATACTGGAAGGCCTAGCCAGAAAAATCACACAAGAAGCAGTTGTGAAATGATTAGAAAGAAGAAGTAAAACTACAGCTACCAATAAATGATGTGGAAACCAAAAATTCTACATAAATTATTATAATAAGAGTTATCAAGAAAGCTTAACAGGTTAAATGACTTTTTAAATGATCAGCCTCAAACATTAGATGTCATAAAAAGATACAAAATTCACAGTAGCACATAAAAATGGAGAAAATATGGAAAATACTTTATGTAGAAAATTATAAAACTTTATATTGCAAGGTATTGTGCAGAACTAAATAAATTATTTTTATGAACAAAAACATACAAAAATGCACTCTGAAGTCTTCTTACACTAATTCATAGGTCGAACAAAATTTCAACCAACATTCAAACATGTTTTTTCTTTGAAGTTGACTGCCAAAAATTTTTACATAGAGGTAGACTCTTATTTCTTTCTGATTATTTTCCTACTTTGTACCCTGCTCTCTTGCAGGGACTCTTTGTTTTGTTTTTGTTTGTTTCACTGGTTTATTTGTGCCAGTACTGAGCCTTGAACTCAAGGCCTGAAAATTTTGCTTTGATTTTCCTGTTTAAAGCTAGTGCTCTACCACTTGAACCACACAGCTCCACTTCTAGCTCTTTGCTGGTTAATTGGAGATAAGAGTCTCTGGGATTTTCCTGCCCAGGGTGGTTTCAAACCAAGATCCTCAGATCTCAGCCTCCTGAGTAGCTAAAATGACAGGTGTGAACCACTAGCATCTGACTAGGGAGTCTTTTTAGTGGAGCTTATTTAACACTAAACATAGGCTGGACAACGTTCATGGAAGCATCTTACATACAGTACTATTACTCCTTACAATAATCATCTGAGGTAGGTTACTATGTCCAACTTACAGTCTGGTTAAGGAATTTGATAGTAAAATACGGGGCTGGCAATTTAACATCCCCCACCCCCACCCCAGGAAATCTGGCTGCTTTTTCCATTCCCTTTTCAGCAAACATTGACACCAATTTTCAACTTTAATTTACCATAAATCTTCCCTTCAATTTCCTTCTACTTGTATTTTGCTATGACTGAAATGGTATGACTGTCAATTTTCTTTTAATCTCTTAAAAATAGGTGATGTACCTGTTTCCTCTCTTTCCTTGTCCTCTTATTTATTCCTGGCTTTTTTTAAGTACTAAAGGTATATTTTCCTTCCTTCCTTCCTTCCTTCCTTCCTTCCTTCCTTCCTTCCTTCCTTCCTTTCTTTTTTCCTTCCTTCCTTTCTTCTTTCTTTCTTTTCTTTCTTTCTTTCTTTCTTTCTTTCTTTCTTTCTTTCTTTCTTTCTTTCTTTCTTTCTTTCTTTCTTTCTTTCTTTCTTTCTTTTCTTTCTTTTTTGGTGCTGGCCTGGGCTCAAACTTAGGCCCTGGGTACTGGCCTGGAGTTTCTTTGCTCAAGGCTAATGCTATACCAGTTAAGCCAAAGCTCCACTTCCAGCTTTTTGATAGTAAGTTGGAGATAAGAATCTCATATTATGTGTGATTCATTTATTTAAGCATTTATATTGGGAGTTTTTCTGTTAATTTTGGTGCTTTATCTTTGAGGCTATTGGGTTATATTTCCCTACTGACATTTTTAATGGTATTGAATTGCCAAATAGAAGCATATATCTCTATCACTTAAATGTAAAGTAGTATTTGCCTGTGAGTTAATAAACTTCCTGATTACTAAGTTTTATCTTGGGAGAGGAGAGTCAAGGTTGATTGTGCTGTTGAACTAGGTATGCAAGGTGCCATTTTGGATGGGGGCAAGAGGGAGCTCTATGTGTCAAAGCAAAAAGTTTAATGAGAGAGAGAGGGAAACTGTGGGCTAGTTAGCTCAAAAGCAAGGGTAGAGTGAAAGAGAGAAACATTCCCTGTTTCCTGCCAAGGGGAAGAAGGTTAAAAATTATTATTATTCCAAGTTCTTATGTGACATAATTTTGCTTATTATCCTCCACTGACCAAGCTAATCTCTTCAATCTTGAAAGAACTTCAAAGGGTAACTTATAAAGCACCAAAATAAATGCTTAAATAAATGAATCACATCCAAAAAATTCATTGATATGCTTATAACAAGAGCCAGATGAATGGAAAAGAAGTTTCCTTAAAGTGATACCTTTTTTGCTTTGTTCTGTTCCTTTTGTTACCTTTATGGAGAGGAGGTGTTTTCTCCCACTTTACATGGCATCTTTCAGATTTTCAAATTCTAACATTTATACTAAAACTTTCTCCCCGCTTCCTGTGTGTACCTTTGTGTGTGTGTGTGTTGGCATTGGGGCTTGAACTCTAGGCCTGGGCATTGTCCCTTAGCTTTTTTTCCTCAAGGCTGGCTCTTTACCACTTGAGACACAGTTCCCCTTCCAGGTTTTTGGTGATTACTTGGAGTCTCATGGACTTTCCTGTCCTGGCTGGCTTTGAACCACAATCCTCAGATCTCTGCCTTATAGGTATAAGCCCCAGGTGCCAGACATCTATTAAAGCCTGGGCTGAATTCCTTTGATGCTTCCTTCTCTCTGAGGATTCTCATTTGCCTTTTAGCACTAAATCAGGATGACACAACACAGATCATTAACCTCTGTTATTGTTACAAAAGAAGATTAGGATGGATGAAAGGTCAGACCTAATTATTGGTCATTACATTGCAAATTTAAATTATAATTATGTTCAATTATGAGTGGCTGGTATTTATCAGGTCTGTGCTTAGCTAGCCCAACTGATGTCTATGAAAAAGAAAAAGAAAGGAAGAAAGGAAGGAAGAAAGAAGAAAAGAAAGAAAGAAAAGAAAGAAAGAGAAAGAAAGAAAGAAAGAAAGAAAGAGAAAAGAAAGAAAGAAAGAAAGTAAAGAAAGAAAGAAAGAAAGAAAGAAAGAAAGAGGAAGAAACACAGAGATTGGGGAAGATCACAGGTGATCAGAAGTATAGCATGTACTTAAACTGCTCTTGCTGAAAAGCATCCACTCCTTTCTTGAGCACACAAACCAAAAGCAAGAAAAAAATCAGTCATCCTTGCTTCTGTGTTGCACCTTTGTCTAAGACTTTTGCTCTGCAATTACTTTGCAATCACTTTGAAATTCAGGAAGAATAGGATTTATTGATAATGTGTTTACCCACAGGGTTAGAGGAAACTTTCCCCAAAGGAAGGAAACATAGAACCTCATTGGGGCAGTAATAACAAGACTCTCTGGAATCCTTCCCAAAACTAAGCACTAAAATGATCAACCAGGCCACACTTTGTCCAGGTCTGTATAATAACTATGCCTAGACCTCTTCCCCTGCCTTCAGTTCTTTGTCTATTTGAATCTATAGCTCATGTCTATACCCTGAAGATGGCTGAGGATGAACTTACTATCTTACTCTTCCTGCCCATGCCACCTAATAA